CCCAAAGTGCTGGGATTACAGGCTTGAGCCACCGCGCCCAGCCAGACCCCCATCTCTTATTAAAAAAAAAAAAAAAAAAAAACCTAATGAAAATCTTGGCTGGGGGATTACAGAGAATGTAGCCTAGGAATGTAATTGAGGCATTATGGGTTGAAAATTGTTGAAAAACTTTTATTTAGAGATCTCTCCCCAGTCTCCCTGGTTGGCCACTTCTTTGCCACTGCCAGCCCAGGAACAGTGAACCCAAAGGGATGGAGCTGAACCACTTGGCCTCACCCAGTCACTATGGGTGATGCTCTGGGCTTCCTTTGTCTGCTGCCATCTCTGGGGCCCACAATCAGAACATCAGACCTGAACAGGCCTGGAGGGCATCAGGCCCTGAGATGCCAAGTCAGTGTCACTGCTTGTATTTAACTCCAATTGATTAGCAGTCACTGTTTAAAACCAGTTTAATAGCATGACTGATTAATGACATCTGCCATGAGTACAGGATAAGGATGAAGAAATGTCAAGTTTTGCACACCCTGATCTGGTCTAATGCTTTCTACTGCAGAGAAATCTGCAAACTTTGTCTAGTCAGATAGTTCTGAGGTGGAAAGACAAGCCCAGAGCCCTGGCCTCATTTTGCTCTAAATGTTTTATGGTCCACCATGACAGTCTCTTAAAGTCCCCATTCCATTCTCCCCATTGATGTTGGCTAATCCTACACTTGTTCTCTGCAGAATCCCAGAGCCCCCCTCTCCACCGGCTGACCCACAGACTGCCACGGAGACAGCCTCCAGTGAGCAGTATCTGCACTCTAGGAGGACAAGCGCCAGGATCCGCCGGAACTGGAGGAAGCCAGGCCCCACAAACTACCTCCACCAGATCAGACACTGATCCAGGGAAAGAGCCAGGAATGGCAGTGTCTTCCCTTTTGCCACAGGGCCTTGGGAGGTGAAGAAAGAACAAAGACTTTAGGCAAGAAGCCCAAAGGGGTAAATGAAAAGAAGAGGCCACTGCCACTGGCCTGCTCCTTTCAGAACAGAACTGGATGCTTTTGCTGGGCCCTCCATTATGTGGGACCCATTCCTCACCGAAATGAGGAGAAACAGTGGCTGTTCCTGCCTCAGCCCTTCTCAATCTAACACTATTCCTGGGCTGCATGATATTCTCCTGGAAACCAAGGGACAGACACTTGATGCAGCATTTCACCATTCACACTACTAATCTACCTGCTACTACTATAAACCATGGTTCCACCCGCACACCATCAGGGTAGCACAGGGAAACCATGGTTTAAGTGGCAAATAAAAACATTTGTATCAAGAGCTGTGTGAGTCTGTCACAAAAGGGGAGGACCCAAAACAGAGTGGAAGGGGCAAGAGTATCCCCAGGAAGGAAAAGTCAGGGATGGCCTCCTCTCCTTTTCACCTCCCTCTTCTTTTTCACCCATATCCCCTTGGGCCCCTGGACCACAGCCTCCTTTTCCAGAGCCTGTTGGATCCGGAGTAGAGATAGGAGTCACCACAGCAGTCCTGATCCACAAGAGAGGAGAAAGGGGAAGGCTGTCATGGCCAGCCCTGCACAGCAGGCTGGGGCCTTGGGCTGGCTTAATCTGCAGCCAAACTAGTGGTGCCAGCTCCTCATTTGGCTTCTTCATCCTTAGGGGCTAGTCATCCCAAGGTGGACCAATTGTTCTGAAGCTGGCTGCATTGTATCTTAGGCCTCCCACGGCGTGGAAACCCTTGAAGGGAGGGATATTTCCTGCAGTTCTAGCTCCACCTCAAGAGAAGCATACTCTGTGCTCATTAGCTTTCTTCTCCCTCTCCACTCACCGTCTATGCTTGATTATTCAGGGTTCAAAGTAGGGCAGGGATGTACACAAGGCATGTACTCTGGTGGCCGAGAGGGGGAGCCTCTACTACCTGTGTAGGTAAGGTCCTCTTTTTTTTTGAGACAGGGTCTCGCTTTCTCACCCAGCCTCCGCCTCCCGGGTTCAAGGAATTCTCCAGCCTCAGCCTTCTGAGTAGCTGGGATGACAGATGCGAACCACCACGCCTGGCTAATTTTTTTATTTTTAGTAGAGACGAGGTTTCACTATGCTGGCCAGGCTGGTCTCGAACTCCTGACCTCAAGTGATCCACCTGCCTCGGCCTCCCAAAGTGCTGGCATTACAGGTGTGAGCCACCAGGCCCAGCCTGTAGGTCCACATTTCTTATCCCAAGCCTTTGGCACTAGATGATTTTGGAAATCAGATTTTTTATTTTTTGGCTTTTAGGAAGTAGTCAGGGTAAATACTGTATAATCCCTAGTAGGGATCTCATAAAATATATTGACATTTCTGCAACAAAGTCACACTGAGAGGGACACATGATGATTACCAATAGCTTCACATCAGTGTAGGTTCAGGTCAGGTTTGGTTTCAAATGGGTTATGAAGATACTTTTGGTTTTCAGAGCATCAGGACTTTGGAAAGAGGACCTGGATCTTCCTTTATTAGGGGGAAATAGCCCCAGGAGCCACGTCTCCACAACTCCATGGAAACAGGTTTCTGTGTCCTCAAAACTGTTCCTACCTTCTCTGTCTTCCTTCCCCCAAAGAAACTGGACAAAAAAGGTCAGAACTGGATTTGTTATTCATACATTTGGTTGATTTAAATATATTACGTACAATTTCTACAGCGAATTAGAACGACATGGGGCAGCAGCACTCTGGCAACCCAGCCTCCATTCCCTGATGCTGGGGGCAGGGCCTATGGCTGGCAGAGGGACGGTGTTCCACGAGTGCCACCCAGAAAGAAGCCTGCTCTGGCACTCTGGGCCCCTGGCTCTTCCAGAGTCCACATTCAAGGCAACCTAAGCATAGGCTTCAGGGAGAGTGGAGCAAGGCTGGGAAAGGATGCATCACACTCTTGCCTGCCAGGCCCAGGACCTGCCTGCTCCTACATTGGACCCAATTTCCTTCTGATCACAGAGCTTGTCTGGATCAAGACAATATGCAGATCTGGTATGGAGGCTGTGGCCAAGTAAGGCAGCCGGATTCCCTGTTAGACACCCAGGCTCTCTTGAGCACCAGATGGGGCGCTTTACCAACAGCTTTGTGTAAAGATGTCTACAGAGAGCTATGCACACCTGGGTCCCCTTCTGGCTCCTACAGTCAAGGGGCAGGTGTCCTCTCAAAGATTGTTCTCAAGGCCGATGTCCGAGTCAGCTGCATGGGATTGTCAGGGCTGGGGCAGGCAGATGAGCTGTGCCTTCGTCCACAGGGCATGCACATCTAGCTCTCAGAAACTCTTCCTATGTGGGTGGAAGCCTGGGACAAGAGGGATCCTGGTGGCTAGACTGGAAGGGAACTGGCAGGGACCAGCCTGGACCAGCTGACCAGAGGGCTGCACACCTCTGCTCTGCAGCTGGGCAAGCAGAGGACATGCAGCCATAGTCCTCACTCCCTTTCTTTGGTTGTTTTTCAAACCTTCAAGACAGTTTCTTTTTGAGACTGACTGACCAATCGCAAGGTGCCAGAACTGTGAAGTGTCCAGAGCATGAACATAACTGCCCCTCAGCCACAGATGGCACCCTTTTTACTCCCTCCTGAAGCCATTCTTTGCTTTGGTGTAGAAAGGGCTCAAACACCTGGCAAGTGGGGGTGGGGGCGAGGCAGCAGGGAAAAGACACATGGAAGCAAGAAGATGCACACTGAGCTGGGCAGGACCTGGGGCAGTTTGAAGGCCTCTCTCCTTTGGGCCCCACCTTTCTCAGGACGCCAGAGAGAAACCGGCCTAGGACAAGTCAGGGAGAAAAGGGAAACTGCCACTTAGGAGGCAGAATCCAAGTCCTGTTACTTCCACCAAGCAGCATCGGCAGCATAGAAAGAAGTCCAAGAATGTAATAGCCTGTCCTCTTAGAAGCCAAGACTTACCCCAGAACCCTCGCAGAGACCCACTCCAGAAGACAAATTGAACTTTTACATCAAAACAGTTGAGGGGAAAAAATTTAAAAACGACAGGAACAAATGAGAAGATTGGGACCAAGGACTCAGGAAGCAAGGTGGGATAAGTTTACCCACAGACCACTTAGCTCTCGGCATACACTCAGGCCGCGTGGATCACTTTTACAGGCTGGGAGTCAACTTCCTATTAAAATATAAATGCTAAGACTAACTCCTCCTGCCTCTGCTTGAGAAAGAGACAAGCTGTAGCACGGCAGAGAGCAGAGGTTCTGTATGATTGTGCAGAAGTGCTGGCAGGGGTAGAGCAAAAACCTCCCTTCCAGGAGAACTGTTGGGTGGCTTGCAGCCAGCCCACAGCACTGGTGGGAGATGGAGGAGGCTTGGCAAAAACCCAAAAGAAAGGTGTGGCTTCTGTCTGTCCCAGTGCTATGGTACTTCGAGTCATCCAGGTGCCCTCTGACACTGCCTTGGCTCATGGGAGGAAGCAGCTGCAAGGCAGCTGAATGTCAGGTCTATGCAAATTTCGGCCTGGATTTTCGGACATGAGGCGACCTGGGGTTCTGCTACAAGCATTTAAATTTTTGTTTTGTTTGTTTTTCTGATGCAGAATATAATAGGGAATTGCAACAGAGCAGGGTGTAGGGAAGAAATGGACTGTACCAGCCTGCCACCAGCAGATGATGGAAAGGAGACGCTCCTTCCCAGGCATCTGGATTATGTGCGTGGAGCTCCAGCCTCCCCGGCACTCCGAAGGGCAAGGAGCACCCACTCTTCCTGATTGTGCTTCTCCCTCTGGGTGGGAAAGCCCTGAGCGGGGTGGCAAACAGAGAGGGAGGGCTCTTAAAGGTGCTGCTCTCCACTGGCTTCTCTGGCTTTTCCTGCACCCCAGGAACCCCTGGCTTCCTCCCACCAGTCTCTGACAGTATTTCCTCCGCCTGCCTCTGGAGCTACCACCATGAAAAGAAGGGCTTCCGGCTCTGGAAGCTCTGTGTGTAGGACTCGCTAGAAGACCGCTGGTGGGAACGGGCCGTCTCAACAATCACAGGTGGCATCTGGACGAGGTGCAGGGGACTCTTGTTGTCTTTCAAGGCCTGGGTCAGATTTAAGATCTGCAATAGGAAAAAGGAGATGGGTGAGGGAGAGGCCTCGGCATTCCAGATCTGTCTCTGAAGGGAGATGAGTAGAGAGGACTCCTACAAATCAATTTTTAAAAACACCAATAGAAAATCACGCATATAGGCTATTTACAAAAGTAGAAATGAGCAATAACAGAAAATGGAAACCTCTCGAATCATTTAAAAAATACAAATGAAAACAAATCTTTTTTTTTTCCCCTCCAGTTAGTAAAGATACAAAAGAATGACTCAGAGTTGGGGAGAGTTCAAAAAAATAAACACTTGCCAGGTGCGCTGGCTCATGCCTGTCATCCTAGCACTTTGGGAGGCTGAGGAGGGCAGATAACTTGACGTCAGGAGTTTGAGACCGACCTGGCAAACATGGTGAAATCTCGTCTCTACTAAAAATACAAAAAGAAATTAGCCAGGCGTGGTGGCACACACCTGTTGTCCACAACTGCTCAGGAGACTAAGGCAGGAGAATCACTTGAACCCAGGAGGCGGAGGTTGCAGTGAGCTGAGATCGTGCCACTGCACTCCAGCACTCCAGTCTGGGTGACAGAGCAAGACTCTGTCTCAAAA